AGCGGATCCCGACATCGATGTCGAGATCCGCCCAGCTGCGTGAGTGACAGTTTTCTTAAGGGTCACAGGAGGACATATACTAACCTCCTCCAATGACCCAAAGCTCAGTATATCGCGAGCTACAGCTCGCGGTGTACTGAGACCGCTCCAACCGGGACGGATCCCAACAGTGCTGTCGAGATCCACCCAGCTGCCTGAATGACAGCTGGCTCTGCCTATCTAGAGGTAGAGCCAGCTGTACCCGCCCCCTGCCCGTCCGTTCCGCCAGTCAGCGCTGGCAGATCGGAGCGGGGAGGGGGGAATCCAGCCCCTCCCCTGTTACGGCAGAGAGCCGTGACAGGATCAAGAGGTGAGCTCACCTCCCGATCTACTGAGCCGACCTGTGACAGTCTCATTGTCACAGGTCGGCTAGAACTATGAGGTGAGTGAAAAGCACTCACCTCATAGTTCTCCTTTAAGGGTTAGTTCACACCAGCCCCAGTGCGTTCCGGCCCGAGTGAGGCCAGAATGCACTGGATCACATTCCGGCCGGCTCACTTTATTTTGGGGCGGGAGGGGGCGTGGTCGTGCATTGAAGTCAATGGCACCGCAGCCATGCTCTCCAGCCGCAGTGCGTTCGCCCGCACCGGAACGCGTGGCACATCAGTGCCTGTGGTCCGGTCCAGTGCAGTGAGAAAAAATAGTGCATGCAGCATTCTTTCTGACTGTACCTGACCGCAACGCAGGCACTGATGTGCTACGCATTCCGGTGCGGGCGAACGCACTGCGGCTGGAGGAAGTGTCTGCTGTGCCATTGACGTCAATGCACCGCCACGCCCCTTCTGCCCCATAAAGTGAGTTGGCCCTGAATGCAATCCAGTGCATGTTACCTCCATCCACCCAGCTCACTGACACTCTCTAGTAGCAAGAAGCTGGGTGGGATGCCGGCCAGAGCGTCCCGCTCAGCTCCTTGCAGTGAGGTAACTGGTTGCCAGGAGCTACGTGGGACACCAGCCAGACGGGAGCCGCCGGCCACGTGGCCCTAGGAGATGCTGCCTGAGCCAACTGTCTCTGCTGCCTCATTATAGGGACGGCCCCGGCATTGTTCAAATTCTCATCACTATATCAATTCCTATCATAAATAAATATTGATCGCACAATGCTGTCAAAATATCTAAGTGCAGTTGCTGTTTGGTCAACAAATTTCCGCCTGCCTCCTTTTTCAATTGAAGGTTGTCAAGCCAGGTGGTGCCGACAGGGTCACCCACAGTTCTAACTGTAAGTGACCGTGCCAGCACCAGCCAGCTTCACAAACTTCAACTAAAAAATGAAGGAGCAAGGTATCAAATTGTTGGCTTTTGACAAACTTTAATAGTGTATGGCCAGCTTAAGGCTTCATTTACACTTGCCACAGAGATCTGTCTGCAAAATCTGTCAGGCTAGATGCTTTGTTTATGCTTCCAGATGCGTAAAATGACATGCATATACACGCATATGCGTTTAGGTCAGGGACGTGCGGTCAGGGGAGGTCAGAGCCTCACCCAGTATTTATCAGATCGGCTTGTTACAGGTTACATAGCAGGGAAATCCTCCCCACGGTGTAACCTGTCATGAATGGAGTGCTGACTGTTAATTACAGGCAGTGCTGCATCCGGCTTTTGACAGGTAGTTAGGTTATACCCAGCGGGCTTCCCCACTGCTTGTGTAACCTAACTTGGTGAGGCAACAGCTGTCCCAGCCTCTACTCTGTGTTAGAGGCGTGAGCTCTGTGGATGGCTTGGACCAATGGCAAAGCTGTCCAATCAAAAAAAGAAAAAAAAAAAAACAATGAGGACATTGATCTCGATGCCTCAGCAGTGACGAGCAAGTGAGGGACAGGGAGGCTCCTCCCTGTCTCATCCTTTCCTCCTCCCCACACAGTTTGGTTACAGAGCTGGGGGTGGGGCTTCGGAGGGACGGGGTGGAGCTTCGGCGGGCTAGGAGATGCCTCACCCAGCACAGAAGGCACGGCACGGCACGTCACTGGTTTAGGTGCACTTTTCCTTTGTGCATTGAAACAGTCCATTAGAGTATCCAAATAAAAGTAATACAATAAAAAATGCAAATAAAAGCGTCTTGCGTTTCCATAAGTTTGCACGCGGTTACATATGTTTTGGTGCATTTAGAAGTTCAAATTAATTCCTGGAGGTTCCTGACTTCAGTTTTTTTTTTTACAAACACAGCTAAACTTACTGCAAAGCATCTAAACACAAGGTGTGAATAGATCCATTAGAAATCATAAAATGCATATATATGCGTTTAGAAAATCAATTGAAATGCATATAAACACATTGAATCGCACCTAGGATGAATGTAGCTTTATATTTCAATTAAAGGAGAATTATGGGGTGAGTGAAAAATCCTCATAATTCAAGCCGACCTGTGACACTGAAGCTGTCACAGGTCGGCTCTATTGATGGGGAAGTCAGTGAACGCATGCCGCTGATAGCTGACTTCTCGATCCTCTCCACTCCCTGCAGGGATTCTCCCTCCCCTCTCCGCTGACTGGAGGAATGGACGGGGAGAGGGCGGGTACAGATGGCTCTGCCTCTAGATAGGTAGAGCCAGCTGTCAGTCAGGCAGTGGGGTGGATCTCAACAGAATTGTCGGGATCTGTCCCGGCTGCGGCGCTCTCAGCATATGGGGGCAATAGCCCGCTATATGCTGAGTTTTGGGTCACCGGAGGAGATTAGTATAAGTCCTCCCGTGACCCTAAAGAGAACTATGGGGGGAAAAGGCTATCTCATAGTTCTCCTTTAATAAACAGTATGCTGTACTATGTGTAATATTATTCATATTGTTTCCTATCACTTCAAGGTGCATACAGATATTCCTCACTTAACGACTTACCTGTTTTGCGACCACTCGCACTTACGACCAGCTCTCCGACCGTGCGTGCGGGAATGTGGCAGCGGCAGTGCAACGTCTCACCATCTTCAGTGCTGTACTCCGTTCGACGCTGCTAGTCTTGGTAAGTACTTTATTGACTGCTTTACAGTACAATGTACACTACAGTACTGTACATCTCCAACACTATTCAGTACTGTACTAATGCAGTACAGTACTGTATACAGTTCCTCGCTTAACGACCGATTCGTTTAACGACCTGGTTGTAGGAAACGGAACTCGGACGTTAAGTGAGGAATAGCTGTACGCGCTCCTGTGTTTTCCATGCATTATTTGATACATGTTGCTGTATTCTGTACACAGTGGAAATGTATCCTTTATTAATCAGTGAGAACAAAATCCAATATGTAACAAACTGCATCGACCTCTTCCTTGGACTTATTCCTATGAAAAATGATTTTGACCAAATCTCATCCAACCTTATGAAGACGTCTATAATAAAAGTATCCAAAACAATGCATTGGACAGGTTGCATGTTGGGAAATTATATCCTACCCTCAGAACCAAACTAGCTGAAACGCTTGCGGCACAACTGCGCAGTAAACACAGTTCACTGGATTTACATTCATTCTAGAAAAAAAAATCCTAAAAAAAAAAGTATAAATGATTTAAAAAATGTTTTTGTCTACAATGTTTCCAGCGCAGGTTTGAAAATGAAAGATGGAAGCTGATTGGTTGCCATGGACAGCAGCTGTCATTTCGCCCCGGTCTTGGGAGATGAGCGCTGCTGAGATACACACATGACCATCTGATCTGTACAATGCAGAATTCACAAAACAGGGTGCCTACGGTAGCTGCTGGTGCAGTCAGTCGTCAGCGTCCATCTTTAACCCCTTGACGCTGGGGGGGGGGGTCTGCCGACGCCAGCATCCCAGGAGTTAAAGATTCCCCAT